TTTGCACACGAGTTTTGGGTTTGTTGAAAACCCCGAATACAAGCGAGCCGGTGATGCTGGAACGATTCCTGGAGCCGTCCGCCCCGGAGAGGGAAGTGGCGCGGACAGTAGCGCGGGGAAGTTGTCAGACTATGGGGAGTTGTGGGTCGTGTGGCTGGGCGACCCGACGGCGCCCTTAAGCTCTAACATCGGGGCCGGGATCAGCATCACACGTTCATCCACCTGACTTCAACAGCAGCAGCAGCAACGCAAGGAATGCCCAGTCCGTTGCTGACGGGGAACCTCACCTTCTCCCACAAACTGTCAGCACCCAGCCATACCTGTGGGAACTCACCCACACAGTTACTCCCAGTTCAAATGGATGCAAATCATCTGCCAAAAGCATACATTTCCTTTTTCGTTGTTTTTGAGCCAATTAAACCTTTTTTTTCGCCCGCTAAGGATTATCATAGTGATAGCAAGTCTCGCTATGATGACCTTTTGCAGGTGCGACCCTCGCCTGCTTCACTCTCAGCTCCTAGGAGGTTGTGGGTAATTTTTGTTTTTGTTTTTCATCAAGAAATAAACTTTAACAGAAACATAAAACTCTTTTATTTTTTATTCTATTTTATTTTTAAAATAAGCATGAACATAAACATAGAACATAAATATAGAACATTTTTTATTTTTCAATATCTTTTTCGCCTGCGAGGGATCATCATAGTGAGAGCAAATCTCACTATGATGGCCTTTTGCAGGTGCGACCCTCGCCTGCCTCCCTTCCAGCTCCGAGGAGGATCAGTGGGTCACTCTTTTATCTGGTTTTGCTTTTGTTAAATAAACGTAATAAAACAAACATGGAACGCAATTAAATACATAAACATGGAACATAAATACAAGCCATATACATATACGTAGGGTGAAGGGATGCGTTGAGTGAATGACCAAGAGTGATATGAGTGTTATTATATGGTGGCATGAGTATATCATGGCTGAGATGAATGAATGTGCCTGTCGAGATGAAGTGGGTAGTATGGGGGTCAGAGGGTGTGTGAGGGGGGTCATATGAGGTGTGGGTGTGAGGATTGGGAGAGATGGCATGAGATGAGTGACCAGGTGAGTTGCAACAAGTGATAAACATGTAACATTTGATACAAGAAAGAACTCTCTTGAGAGAAACCCGTGGCCTTGTGCATGAGAAACATTCTCCGACTGGAGCCGCGGTGTGCCCCAGTCGGAGGCCTTTCCCTTACCCGGGCTGGTGGGTACGAGCGAGGGTAGTGGCGGCCAGGCGTGGTTGCAGTTACAGAGCATAAGTGACAAAATAACATATAAACTTAATAAACGATTTAACCGTGCGTGAAACATCCTTCGACTGGTGCCACACCAGCTCGAGGCCTTTCCCATAACCGCCAGGTAATGCGACCTTTATTAATGCTTAACAAATTCATGCTGATGCCACATGAAATCAATAAAACAGTATTCGGAAAAGAGAAACATATCATGTAAATCAAAACACAAATGAAAAAGGAAATGGTAATAATACTGTAAATGAAGAATAGAAATATAATTTGAAAATAAGAAAAAACAATAAATGAAAGACGAAATGCAAACAAGTGAAAATAAACATTAGGTGAAGTATGAGTGAAGTTGCGAGAAGTAAATAGTGGTTAAAATGGGTAGTAGAGAGTTGTGGCATGGAACATAGTTATAGTAAAGCAATTCAAGATAAAGTAATCACACAAAATACGGTATGTGATGGGATGATGTGATGTGAGGTGCGGGCATGATGGCTACCTTCTGTGCCTGGAAAACATCCCCGACTTGCACACGCTCACTGCTACGAGTGTGCACAGTCCAGAGGCCCTTTCCTTGCCCAGGCATGAGCCTCATCACGCTTGGTGCGATGAAGCGATTTTCTGAGTGCGGAAATCATCTTTCGACCCGAGCACACGCACTAAGTGGGTGTGGTCGGTCCGGAGGCCCCTCCCCCACCCAGCTTGTGAGGTGGGGTTGAGTACAATAGTACAAAACATAATTCATAATAGTTTTGGACATCACCTATTCCATGCTGATAAAGTGACGTTCATGCCAAAAGTGATAGTGCCAACGTGTCATTCAGCAACCCTGGTCTCCCAAGGGCATACTTGGATCTCTAGGTCCAAGGTTTTCCGTTCAGGTATCTCGTGGGTTGAGATTAGAGAGAGTGTTGACGCCCTCCCCACGATGGACCTGACACGTGACCCTTGGTGGACTGCTTTGGGTGTAGTCACGCCACATTTTGCCTGAGCTAGTGATTCTAATTACAGGCCAAGGTGCTTGCAATTAAAATCACGACGCACTTGATACCCAGTGGTTTCGCTGCGAGGTGTACGGCCGGACACATAAGGGCTCTGGCCCGTTCGGCAGGGTCCCCACCCCGACCGTCCCTAACACACAGAGACTACTGGGTACCTTGTGAGCTCCTACCTTTTTTGAGACCATTTTCACCTTTTTCCACATCCAGTCTAATTAGCTCTGCTAGCCTCCCTCCTCCCTTCATCATCACCCGACGCTATGACCTGAACCATGGGACATCAGATCAAATTAGCATACTCTGGAGAGCCCATCTCTTGTGAGGTGGCTCTCCAGAGAATCTTCACCCTCACCGAGGTGGCAGTCACCCACCTCTATAAAGTCCACAATGACAGTAGCCAAACCGGAACAACTGACCCCCTTCCTTTCGGCCGAAGGCCAAAGGAAATTAGCAGACAACGTCTTTTCACCAGTTCCTTCCCCCGAGACGAAGGCAAAATGCACGATCGTGGCTAAAAAGATCGACAGGACGATCCTCCCACGATCGTGTGAGTCGATCTCACAGGAGGTTGCCGCCAAGAACGGTGTCACTGTTCTTGACGTTTATAAACCACCCGAGTCACGGATCGTCAAGATCCGTTTCTCTGCCCCAGAGGAAGCACAGAGGATTCTCTCGAGGGGACTCATGATGTTTAATACATCGGTCCCAAGTTACAACTTAGAACCAGAGTGCTTTATTCATCTGGAACAATGCCTGAACTGCTACCGATACGGACACAATAAACACACATGCTCACACATACAAAGATGCTCCCGTTGCGCTGGCGAAGGTCACTTCTTCGCCAAGTGCAAAGAGAGCATCAAATGCTGCAACTGCGAGGGATCGCACGTAGCAGTTAGCGGATCCTGTCCAACACGAAAGGAGCTACTAAAAGCAAAACGAACTGAGCTTCGTGAGAACAGAAACACTGCTCCGACATACGCCACAACAGCTGCCACACAACCCATCCAAACTAGCACACCCAGACGACCCACGACCTCCTCGAGGACGACCATGCCAACACTCCCCCAAACCCACGCATTCACACCGAACACAAACCCGAAAATACAAGCCATATTACACGTCTTATCGCTGCAAAATACAACGCCAAAAGATTCGCAACCATAGTCCCCATCATGTTACAAAAAAACGGCTTCCCCAGCATTGTCGTCCCTGAGGAGATCTTCGAAGACGACAACCTGTACATTCCTGAATACGCCACAAACACAGAAACTATGGACAATGAGGTGACAATCACTCACCCAGAGCCTCACTGTTCCACAACACACAGACACCTCGTTTTGCAACCACAACCCCAACGCAAACCACGAGAAACCGCACAAGCACGCGATACTACAAGGAACACGGAACAGAAACGCAAACAAATCTCGCCACTAAACATGCACAACAAAAAAGACAAGGATCCCCCGATCCCTCAGCCTCGTCGTCGGGAGATGGATGACACCATCCTCGACGACGACAGTAGCGGCTCCGAGATCGACGTCGAAGTCGTTCCCGAAGCCGAGGACGAGCTCCATGCCCCTGTGGGCGGAGCCACTGCCATGCTCCCCTGTAGGGGGCCTTTGGGGCAGCGCGGAAGTGTCGGGAATTGGTCCGCCGATTCCCAGGAATTCCGCGCTGCGTCCTGCTCGCAGGACTCTCTTCCTGACCTCGAGGAACCGACGGTCGATGCTCGACCACGGAACCGCTATAGGGATCAGGTTACGCCACGCAAGGTAAACCCAGGTCGAATGGGTCTACCCTGAGTGACATGCTAACGATCGTACAAGCAAATGTAAGGTCTTTTTTCCTCAATACGTAATCTCTTTTACGACTTTCTAGATCAAGAACGCCCAGATGTTGTCCTACTGAATTCTACAGCCATCACGAATGGCTATAGAATTCGGCACTACGGTTACACATCCAGGCAAACAGGAGACGGTTTGCACATGGGGTCCTGTATCCTCATCAAATCCACCACCTTCGAATTTATCACCCTTCCATTCACTCACCCTGACTTCATGGCAGTCAGGATATTCACCCCACAGGGCCCCATTATCCTTTCCACTGCCTATATCAGACCCTCAACCAACTTGCCTCTTGCTGATTTCAACAGATTGTTTAATTATACGAACCTCCCAGTCTTCTTTGCCGGAGACATCAACGCCACCACCCTCTTCTATCTCTTGATACAAAAAGACTCCACTACATCGGACCCGACTTCTTCACCTCATACACGAACGTGGGAAAGGGCCGCCCTGATCTCGTCTTCGGGAACAGAGCGGCACTCGCCTACCACACACACCCGGTCCGAACGTTGGTTCGGACCATATACCCGTCATAATCAAAATTTCCACCTCACCAATACTAAACAAAGAAAGACGATCTTTCCGGTACCAACAAGCAGATTGGGAGTCGTTCAAATCTAAATTAAGTGAAGCCAACTTTCAGTTTAATCTTGATGGGCTTGATTCCCAAACAATAGATGGGCATTGGAATTTCATCTTCGCCCACATCGTATCCACCATGCTGAGCACCATTCCCCGGTCTCAGTATAAGACACGCATCTCATTTCAGCCATCTGAAAGGACAAAACGTCTCCTGACTTGTTTTCGAAATCGTTTCACGCAAAATTTAAACAGGTTAAATCATGTTCGATGGGACTTATCTATCCTCAGAAGACACGTCATCGATAGTCTTGATAACGACCGACAAAATCATTGGCATAATTTGGTTAAAAATGTAGAGTCTAACAGAGTTCGCAATCCACGGGAATTTTGGCAAAGAATTCGTCAGCTTAAAGGTAGTAACTTCCCCCCTTCTCCCACCTCATTCATAATAACGTAAATGTTTCAAATCCCGTGGATGTCATTAAAGTCTTTGAAGAACACTGGGCTAAAGTCTTCTACCCTCACCCTCCTCATCCCCTGTTCACTCAACGAATTCAGGATATAGACACCTGGAGTCATGAGAACAGGGTAGAGACCAACCCAGAGCCAATTATCCGTATGGATAGGCTGGACGACACCTGCGAACTCACAGCTCCCATTTCGTGTGAGGAAGTAAAACAACTAATCATGAGGTCTCCTCGTAAGGCTCCAGGCTCCTCACAGATCGGACGCGACGCTCTTATTCATTTCCCTGACAATCTTTTACAAGCTTTGACTCACCTCTACAACGCCTCTCTCGCTTCCGGCTATTTTCCCTCTTGCTTTAAAACTGCTCTTGTGGCCCTCATTCCTAAGCCACACAAAGACCTGACTGACCCTAAGAGTTACCGCCCTATTAGCCTACTCGAGACTTTAGGCAAGACCTTCGAAAGAATCATAAACACTCGGCTAAGGTGGTATCTCGAAGACCATAACCTTCTCTCACACAAACAATTTGGCTTTCGCTCGCATCACTCGACGCAAGACGCACTCAACATCATCACAAACTACGTACACAATGATATTTCTATTATTTACCCACCGTTATTGTTCTGTCTTTGTTTTATTCTCATATTATTTGTGTACTATGCTCCCCTTTCGTCCCCTCCCCTTTCGACTCGTCAGACCCAGTTGTCAATGAATTAATCTCCCCTCGCATGTTTTATTACACCACTTTATCCGCTTATCCTTTCCCCCTTCACTCACCCCATCTCATCCCTCACCCATCTCTATTTAGAATATTTCTCCTTCATCATCCATCAGACATCATCTCGCTCTGCCCTGGAACTCCCCACCTCTCTCTGCAACTGTTTGCTTTTGTTTACAGCAAAAAAAAAAAAAAAAAAAAAAAAAAAAAAAAAAAAAAATATATATATATAATAATATATATAAAAACCCCAAATATAGTTCCTTTGTTTCTCGTTCAAGTAGAATTAGCCATTGTTTCTTTAACACATCAAATAAGAAAATCAACAAAAAACAATAAAAAGAAAATCAATAAAAAATTCTCTGTTAACTTTAATTGTTCTGTAACCACTTTGTTATTCTATAAAAATAAAACCAATAAAAAAACAACAAAAATAATATAAAACTCAAAAACAAAATAAAAAACAAAATCAAACAAAAGAGGTATTTACTTTTATTTACGTTAATTACTTTAATCATTACTCTAAATATTAAGAGCCTGCAATTCACCAGTAAAGTAACTTAACTTACCGCCCCCCCCCACTAACTCCAGATATGAACGAGTCATATATATTTATGTTAACCATGCAAGGGGTTTCGCCCCCATCTTTTAATCTCCCACTCTTTCCATTTCTCTCTTTACGTCCTCTTACCTCTCTCCCCTTCAATTCCTCACTTAATTTCGTAATCCTCCTCCTCCTCCTCCACACTCTCCCCTTCAATTCCTCACTTTACTTCGTAATCCTCCTCCTCCACGATTGATCGCCCACCATCACCTAGTCTATGCTAAAGAGTAAACTCTCATGCCAAAAAGAACAACCAAAGTGTCACTGAACAACCCTGGTCTACCGGGGCCTCAGTCGCGCCGCGGTCTTTTTTGCATTGATTTTTTGCTCATTAACGTAAACTGTAAAGTAAATAACTCTGTTTCTGCAGAGTTCTGCCACTTGCCTCTTAAAGGTATTTTCTTGTTCAGCAATTAACGGTGATACGGGAAGATCTTACTCTCCCAGACCCGCAGCTCTCACTATCACAGGGCAACCTGTATAGTGAGGCCCAGCAGTCTGAGGCGACATATAGGTACGCTTTGCCTCTCTCTAAACTCCTTCCCTTTCTTGTGGTCACCTGGACCTACATAAACCCCCCGTGGGTTTTTGTATTCGTCTGGGTGGCGCGCCGCTTACCTGTTGCCCCTTTGTAGCAAGGATTGGCAATAAGGGAGTGGCCCATCACAAAGCTCCGATCCTCAAGTGCACTGGAGAACGCAACCAGTCTGTCACTTGGGGGGTCGAGTGTAGGCTCTCCAATCACCCCTTTCAACCCCACCTCTCACCTCTTTCACCTCACCCTCACCTCACCTTCTCACCTTCTCCTCTCCTCTCACACTCACCTGCATACCCCTGCCACCCTTATGTCCCCCGACCATGGCCAAAATTAAGATCAAAGTCCTCGGTGGTCCCTCACCGAGGAAACGTGACTTGCTCGCCAATGCACTCTATGGTGCTGAGATCAGAGTACTTCGGTACATCGCTATCCAGGATGGATACCTGGCCCTCATCGACAACGACATCCAAGCCGAGAAACTCTTCTCAAAGGATGTCGTCCTGTCTCTGGAGAAGCTTGGCTTCTCTCCCGTCCTACCTGTGGACATGAAGGCGAAGCTCACGCTTGTCTTCAAGAAACTGGACCGTCAGGTCGTAAATGAATCCCCCCTCGATATCGAGGACGAGATCACTGCCGCCTTCCCAGAGGCCCAGGTTGACAACATCTTTGTGATGAAGGCCAACCACATCATCAAAGCCAGATTCACCGACCATGCCACAGCCAAAGCAATCAAGGAGAAGGGGATGTACCTTTTCAAGCTGTATGTTGCCCCCTGGCAGATAGAGTTCGAAAGGTACACCCCTATCCGGCAATGCATGAATTGCTTTGGATATGGCCACCTAAAGAACAACTGCAAAGAGGAGAAAAGACCAGATGCACTGAATGTGGTTCCTCCACCCACTCATTTAGGGACTGTAAAAGTCAAGTCAAGAAATGTCTTAACTGTGGGGGTGCCCACAGGACATTTGCCAATAGCTGCCCCATGAGAAAGGAGGCAATGAAGACTTCTCAGGAGAAGTCTAAAGAGAAGGAGAAGGAGAAGGAGACCAGACCTATCAGGGCTGTGGCCCAAAAGGCAGCACAGGAAACTGTGCAGGCTACCACCAACGCCTGGAAGCCTTTAATAAACCAGGTCCGTCAGGACATTAAGCAAAAGACCCCTGATCCTGCAATCCACCTTGCCCTCCCTGATAATCTCTCCAAAGAGATACTCGTGGTCCTCCTCCACGCCCACCTTCAGAACCTCATTGCCCCTGAGAAAGGGTTTAGACACCATGCCAAGGCAGCTTTGGCAAAAAACAATCTCCCTGATCTCGATCTCGGAGATTCAAACTCCTGGGGAATCCTCAAAGTCATTGAGCCCCCAACCATGACTGTCCAGGCCCTCCTGAACCCCAGCCCCAGAGACCT